TTTTTGTGTTTAGAACTTTATTTCCACTGGCATTGTTTGTTGTTATGTGGCGATGACTTTGAGTGCATCTCTTTCTTTAATGATTGGATTTTGACTGTCAGTATCGTGTTTAGTGTGTGGAATGTTAAAGATGTTGTTTGCCGAATTGAAATCTTGGTTTATTTTATGTGTCTCAAGATGTTTTCTTCTGCAAAGATCCTCATTAGATCTCATTACTAAAAAGTTATATTCTAAAAGTAACGAAAAACACATGACCCATTAGATAAGCATTATTTGTCCAGAGGTTTGCAAGGATAATTTGTCTCTTTTATGTGGTTCAGTTGTCTGACAGTTTTTGGAGTGATTGGCTTTCCCTGGAGCTCATGACTAAAAACAAGATGATGAGGAATGATTACTAAAAGAAGTAATTTGACTTTTCTCTGTTAAGCACTTAATATCAATCTGTCTTATCACTTGTGTGGCAGTGATTATCTCTCCGTGTGCCACCATTGTGCCAAAAGTTTTCAACCCCTGATGTAGTGCTTAATTTCCTGAAGTGGTCTAAGATTTTCAGACATTTAAATTGGCTTAATGCTGACTAAAATTAAAGTAGGCATTGAGTAGAAATCTTGGCCTCAGTTTATTCACAGCCCTTTGCGCTAAGACATCAACAGCTAAAGAAAAATGCCAATTTCTTTCCGTTTGGCTGGCTTCAATGCAATTTCTAGAAGTGATGAGTGCGTTTTTATTATTCAGCCAGGAAATAAATGTTGAAACACTCACAACAAGGTAATACTCTCGTCAACTAAACCTTCCCAACTTCTACACTAAGGATTTTCTTTGATAGCAGTCACTGTTGACCTTCGTGACAGTCGCATGTTTCAGACTGTAATCATGCTCTGCATCGATTGCCTGACTCTCTCAGTGCATCAGGGTCTGCCGTTCCCCAACACTTCAGGGACTCTTCAAGGCTGTTGAAATGAAATCCTGCTTCTTCTTCTACACCACGCAACTGGTGGATGATATCTTACTGGACTTTGTGGAAACAACGAAGCAAACAAATATCTTTCCTCTTTCCAGACATAAGTGTCTATTTATATAGATAAATTGTTGCTTTTATTTTTAATTTCTTTTATTGACTATTTAGATGATAAATGCTAGAGTTGGGGTACTCGGACTCGAGTCTGGTCTCGAGTACAGTTTTTTAAAGGACTCGGATGTATGTTTACTCGGACTTGACTCGTCAGAATATGTCAGAGTGACAGATGACAGACAGAAAAATAATCCACTTATTTCACCCTTCCATCACACATCCTTACTCTTCTTGTTTCTGACCTTGTTTGTTTCCGTGTTGGTCTTGTATTGTCAGAAATTGTGACAAATTGTAATACCACTCTTTCCACCACTCTTACCACTCTTTCAAGAATTTATCTTCCAGAATCTGACTCGGATTTCATCAAAAATATCTTAATTTATGTTCCAAAGATGAACAAGGGTCAACAGGAGTGGAACGACATGATTTAAATGAGTGTGTGAATATGGTGTGTTAAATAAATACATGTATAAATAGTGTTGTTTTTTGTGAAGAAAGATATTGTATTATCTGAGAATAAAATGAACTATACTTGATTATGTATTTTGAGTATTTTAAATACAGAATACTGTTTCAGAAAGTTTTTAATTTAATCAAATCACATTAGATTATTTTTTTTTGCCCAGCAAAATACAAATTACAAAATACATATTTAGTAATTAAATACATATTTCAAATACATTTAATTAAAATACTGCCCAACTCTGCTGGCAGTAAGTTTTGGGAGTTCATTTTAAGTCCATCTCCTATCCTGAAAAGTCTGCTTTGCAGAGATGGACTGAAAATGAACTCCCAAAACTGACTGCCAGATTCTGGAAGATAAATTCTCGAAAGAGTGGTACAAGAGGAAGTGATGCTGGTCCTTCAAGGTCACTCTCAATGTATCTGTCTATAAAGCCTATATAAAAAAAACAGCCTTCATGTATTTCACAACACTTCAGCATGTTATTCTTAAGGTTATTATTTTTTTTTTTGATTTTTTTACCCGAGCAAAGTCTCTGAGAACCTGACACCTTGCACTTCTGGAGACTCCAGGAAGGATGCAGTTTTGGAAAATGGTGGCGCTGGAGACCAAATGGTTCCTGATGGGTTTCACACCTAAATCTTCACCTTAATTCTAAATTCTTTTACAGTTAATATGTGTCTTTTCTTCTCCACCTGTTTTTTCTGACCGTGCTGACCCAATGAGCATTTTGCTGTCCAAAGGTCATGCCTTAACTTTGCAAATTCTATTTGGTAATGCTTTCCCCTCCATAAACTTTGGTAAAATGTGCTTGGAAAAAAACATGATCAGAATATCAACTTGCCTAATAATTATGCACACACTGTATATATATTCTTTCCAATTGAGATGCGCCTCTGAGCAGAGAACTGGTAGTGATCATTGGTTGATCTAACACTTTACATTCCCCTTCATTAGTCAAATTCAAGCTCTACCTGTGGAATTCATAAACAAATCTAATAGAAATGTATGGATATATGCTTAACATACATGTTTACATACAGATGTTTTGTGGGGAAAGACTATTCAACCAGTTTTATATATTTTAATCAACATGATATAAGTAATTGATAATATAGGAAACATCAGAAAATTGTATATAAGTGCATGAGCAACCACAGCATTGTTCAAAACAACGAGAAATTGCTTTTATGATGTGCACAGGTGACTAGATGACGTGGAGGTTGAACAAGTATTTTTGAGAATTTTTGTTGCCATCTGAGAAATGTAAAGAGCGTCTAAGAGAAACTGTAAAAATATTAGTATATAAATAATACTAGAATAACAATATTTTAATCTTATGATTTCTATTTAATAATAGTTTATTATTTAGTTAAAAAAACACTCATTCTAACATTATTCAACACTGAAGATTCATCTTTATTGAAAAAAATAAAAAAATGAACTAAATGAAAAGAAAAACTATTTCAATTGGGAAGGGCAATAATGCAGTTTCTCACATACAAGAATGAACTGAAATTTCATTTCTTGATTTTGCAATTGCACATTAAAGTACATCAAGGGGCTGTTATACAAAACCATGAAGTTTCGGTTGCGCTCGTGTTACTCCTTGCACAGTTGCAGCTTGCGCATTCTGTCTTGCAAACATGTCTTGCAATATACTGTCTTCTGTGATGAATTCAAGTCACATACCTTACATTCTGGAATCATGACAGCATAAATTACCATACATTGTAATTACTGTGCAAAAACATAATTTAATACACTTTAGCACTAGTGTACAAAAATATGGTCCAACTCAAATGAAACTTTCTCACACCATTTCAACTGAAAATGAACATTAAGAGCTGTAACAGATGGACAGTTCATATATCTGCTGCTATGACCTGCATATTAATTAGTCTGTCGTTTAATAGATCACTTAGCAATGTGGTATAATCTTTGTTGCATGTGTGGCATTTCTGGATATCTACTGTATGCCAATAAAATGAAATGCACAAAATGAGCATACACAGAATTTGAAAACAGAAGAAAAAAAACCAATCATGAATGGTCATACTAACAAACATACCATTTTAATTGGTTTTAAAAATGTAACAAAAAAAAGACAGTCTACCAACAGCTCATATCAAACTGATGCCTCCTAAATGAAATCCCACTGACAACTAAAAGTTGCACTGTGATATTTTCTATTATTAAAATTTGTTTATAAAGAAACGGTAGAGCTTTAAGATCTAAATCTATCTTGTCTTTCCCTTACAGCAATACTTTCACATTACTTTTGATGATGCTTGATTATCTTGATAGACATGCCGCTCCACTACAATTCACTGATGAGGTCAGTGCTTTTGCCCAGGGAAGGTGTTATAAGATAAAGTGAGAGTCTTATCTGTCTGCCCTTACAGCTCCTTTCTGCCACAGGCTAACCTTTACTTTGCTTTCTTTTACCAGAAGATGTTTCATTTCACCTTTGCCTTGAGTTATGGCTGGCACGGTAGACACAACCTCTCATGGAGGACAAATGCAGCATGCTTTAAAGAAGGTCTTAAAATCAAACTCCAGGTAGAGGTCTTAAATAAATGCTTGAGGAGAAACAACAGCACATAAAAAAGTCAATTCAATATAATGCAGCCATTGAGCATTTCTCAGAAATGGGTCCATTAGGACTGGACTGATCTATAAAACTCAGCAGACCACTCATGTGTTTTTATGCCAGGATTTGGGTTGAAATCAGCAGATGCAGGTCAATTATAATGCAGTTTCTTCTTTGTGGGGCTTTTCTATAAATCATTAAAACTATCATGGCTTGGTTCTGCAAAACAATACCATAAACATGCACAATTGTGTGAATTGGGGGTCAGAAAAAAACGAAACGAAACAAAACAAAAAACATTGGAAACAAAGAAACAGCTTCACCAAAGATTCATTGTTAATTTTTCTTTCTTACCACATTTGGTTGTTAATTCACAGAAATATTATGTGCCAATTTAAAAGGTAGCATACAGACTCATAGTGACTGCTGCTCCCAACCACCTTCCCAGAAAGCAGCAGATAAATTCATAAGAACGAAAAGAAAAAACACAAAAGCTCCTTTTGTTGGCCAAGCCAGCTCTCTGTTATCCCTGTGCAGGAATCATATCTTTATTTGTGTTCCAAAGATAAATGAAGGTCTTACATGTTTGGAACGACATGAGGGTGGAGTAATTAATGACATAATTTACATTTTTGGGTGAACTATCCCTTTAACAACAGTCAGCCAATCAGATTAAAGGCTAGCCAGGTTGAAAGAGACACTGTGGTCTTATATAAATGTGATGCTCTCTGTATCTCAAAAAGACAGATCATTTCCTTCTATTTGGTTGTTAATTCATAGAAATATCATGTCCCAATTCAAAGGTAGCATACAGACTCATAGTGAGTGCAGCTCCCAGAAAGCAGCAGATAATGCCATAAGAACAAAAAGAAAAAACAAAACAAAACAAAACACAGAAGCTCCTTGTGTTGGCCAAGCTTGCTCTCTGTTATCCCGTGCAGGAATCTCCTTGGTCCATCCAGAGAGGCGTCGACGGTCTGTTTGTGCATCTCAGGTGGTGTGCAGTATGATGTGCTCTGTTCCATTAGCTTATCTTTACTCATATCCAAACCCAAATGAAGGAGTGAACGTGCCAAGGCACAGAAAAACTAAATGCAGATTGCTCCACAAACGGACGGACACATCAAATTCTTCCAATCGATGTCTTGGAGGCAGTGCTTCACTATCAGTTACCTCATGCCTGGATACGATTAGCGTTTAGAAGTTTAATCCAATTGTAATCCACGTTCCACGGTTTTCAAAGGCAGATGGAGCCATATTCCTTGGCAGGGTAGAGGACAGTGACTGGGACGGTGATAGTAAACACAGCTGCTGCAGTGGCAGGTGCAAAACACAAGATTGTGTGTCGGACAAGCTTAGCTTGACTGGAAATGAGTGAAACAAGTGGAAAAACTCCTTTTTTAAATAACTTTTGAACCACCCAGTCTTGAACCAATCGAGTCTTTAAGGATGTGGGGCTGATATGCTTCAAAAGAAAGTTTCTCATTCCCATATTCCATTTTTGTACTTGGTCACCAGTTTGAATTCATATATTTATATCCATTTATATATATTTATGTATATTTTATACAGTTAAAAACACCATGGAGATGACAGACTATTTGGTTTCTTTTTCTAAGTTTCTCCTTAAATAAATGCATATAAATAAATTATCTTTTCACATGTTCGAGACTGTCACTCTCTCACGCTATCGCCCACAGCACGTCCTCAGAAATTCAATCATAGCTTTCAGTGGTATCCCAATGTTGCCGGAGTATTCTGAAGCCCAAAGACACACGGGACATTTGTGGTTAGTTCTGTCAACCCCTTCTCATTGGCCAGGCTTTGTGGCATCTTTGTGCGTGTCTCTGGGGCTCACTAACTGAGTTTCCGTGGGCCCAAAAGCAGCCACCCCCCCTTGTCCACCCCCATTTGCTAAAAGGATGCACACAGTCTCTTTGGCCCCCTGAGGGACGGAGCTACTGATGTCCTCCTGCTTCCTCTGGGCATGTGCTAGCGCTCTGAGCTGTTCCTGAGCCTCGTCGAATAGTGAGGCCACTTCCTCCTGTCTACCAGCTGCTCGATTGGAGACCGTTACGTTAGACTGTTGATCAAGGGCCGAAGCTTCCTCTGTGCTTTCCAGAGGACTAGAACGGTTGCTTCCAGCACTAGGGGCGGTTTGCATACACGAGACCTCATCCTGGTAGGAGTGGACAGAGGGGATGATTGGGATAGAGCAGGGACGGTAGGGAGCAGGAGGACTTTGGCTGGAACCGCCCGACCTGAGGCTCCTAGCACACCTGTGGTCTAAATGGCTGCTGCAAGATTTTGAGGATTGTGAGGCTTGCATATTGTAAAATGAATCCTGATGTAGGTCATTACCTGGCCCAGAGAGGTTCCTGTAAAGAAAGAGGAAAAGATGACAGACTGAAATATAGGGGGATTAAGGAAAAGACAGGGATATATTGAAAACGATTAAAGTGCCAAGAAAGAGGTTTGTTGAATCTCAAAAAGGTCTGATACATATTCTGAAAGCCGAATAAAGCTCAAGTGTGTAATTTCTGCGCCTGTAGCATCAACAAACAGAATTGCGAAAATAATGACTGGTTCAAACAGGTTCCCAAATACTCTGTCACTCTTGTTGACAGCAAAGTCCCTTTTCAAGGAAAGGCAGTTCACTAAGCAGCCATATTGGCTACACCTCCAGGCCGCTATTTCGGGCATCCGAGACCAACTATGCCTATCTACTTGAATAGGGAAATACTGAACTCTCAAAAACTTAAAACTGCAAATCCTCATTTAAATATTTTCAACCCAGCAACAAAATCTGACAGGAACTGACCCATGGATTTGGTTTCTCACTCTCAAATAGCATCAAAAAAGCATATTTTTCAAGTTGATTCAGCCGTTGCACATGTGCAGTCCCAAGTGCATGTCTCAGGACATTACCCGTTTCTGTGGGAACCAAAGCCTCAGGCGGCAGATACAATGGTGTGATGTCTTTACCAATTGCCGGTTAGCTATTTCATTTATAAAGCGGGACTTGTTCTGCCATATTGCGCATTGCATTTTCTCCCACGTATAGTAATTTTAGTGAATTGTCTTGGTAGTACAGTGTTACTATTAGTCAGTCAACAAATAGTCCTGCCCCAAACGTGCGTCATTGGTTGAATCAGTGTTGCTATTATTGGGCAGGTTGTGATGCTCAAACAAACAGATCAGCATTTCTTTGCTGTACAGAGTCTGTTGCGTACACTTTTTTGTCAAACTATTGCTTACTTATAGATCTCTGCTAGGATACAAGAATGCATTTCAACATATTAAAAAACATGAATTTGCACAGCAGACACGGTGTCTTATAATATCTTACATAATAGATGATAACATTATATTGCATTCTTAAAGAGGCATATAAAACAAAGCAAGGATTTTTGTACATGTTGAGGCTATTAAATGTTGAGGAAATAAAACAATTACTACACACTCATGTATCTCAGGTTATTAGCTATTCAATGTTTCTTTGATCTGGATTGTAGCCCGGTGTCTTCTCTGGCTCACAATCATTTAGTTCAGCTGGGCATTAGCTGGCTTCCAGATTCAGAACTTGCTGCTCCCACGGCAGTCATTCTTAATATAATCTTCTGACAAATTCTTTTAAAATGGATGAAAGCAGAAGTTCCATCCTAGCAGACCTTTGGTAAACTAATCTCTCAATTTAGGAGCAATCGGTATTGTTCCCCTGATTCATTATCTTTGTGTAATAATTCATAATCCCTGACAAAGAATGGCTTTTCTCATAGCATCAATATTTAACCAAGCACTGCTTTTTCTGATAATGACCGAGTCAGAGTTAAGCCTCAATCAAGGGTAGGCAAATTGTCTGATTATATTTTCTATAAAACAGACGATATGACAGCAATGTCAAGTATTTCATTAGGCCATGGATCATCATTCCTGGAATATCAAGACTTGGAAACAGTTAAGGATGCATGGATTTTGCCTGAGTTTGTAAGATTTTGCTTAAGATTAGAGATCATGATTCAATATAATGTGATAATTTACTGAAATCCTCAATGTCAACAGAAAAGAGAGCTTTTTTGAAGGTGGCTAGAAAGTCATGTGATTTTAATGAAACTCCTGCTGAGCACATTTCTCCAGTGGCCCTCTCTCCACCTCCTCCAGCTGCACATATCTAGACATTTAACTATATGATGAAAAGTCTGGTCTGCAGCTTATTCTGCCTACAGAGAGGAAGAGACTGTCATTTAGGGGTGGGTTCCCCTCAAAAAACAACAAACCATACTGAAAAGTGGGAAAACCGCAGAAAAAAGTTTCATGTTTCATGTGTTGTTTCGTGTCGTTCCAAACCCATAAGACCTTTATTCATTTTTGGAACACAAATTAAGATATTTTTGATGAAGTCCGCAAGCTTTCTGACCCTGCATAGACAGCAACACAACTACCACTTTCAAGACCCAGAAAGGTAGTAAGGACATCGTTAAAATATCCCATTTGACATCAGTGGTTCAACCGTAATGTTATGAAGCTATGAGAATACTGTTTGTGAGCAATGAAAACAATTTCTTCTCTTCCGTGTCAGTCAACGCGTGTTCACAAGAGTACCACAATGCATGCAGCTGTGCCTTGTTTACATGCAGAGGAATGCACATGCATACGTAGTGGTACTGTTGTAAACATGCCTCGGAGACTGCCACGGAAAGGAAGAAATCTTTAAATAAAGTCGTAATTTTTGTTTTCTTTGCGTACAAAAAGTAATGTCATAGCTTCATAACATTACAGTTGAACCACTGATGTTACATGGACTATTTTAACAATGTCTTTACTATCTTTCTGGTCCTTGAACATAGTAGTTGTGTTGCTGTCTATGCAGGGTCAGAAAGCTCTTGGATTTCATCAAAAATATCTTTATTTGTGTTCCAAAGATAAATGAAGGTCTTACATGTTTGGAACGACATGAGGGTGGAGTAATTAATTACATAATTTACATTTTTGGGTGAACTATCCCTTTAACAACAGTCAGCCAATCAGATTAAAGGCTAGCCAGGTTGAAAGAGACACTGTGGTCTTATATAAATGTGATGCTCTCTGTATCTCAAAAAGACAGATCATTTCCTTCTATTTTAATTGTTACAGTGTAAACAAGTAGGAAACATCACTTTTGAGGGTTAGTAGTTAACATCTATGAAGCTATGAGAATACTGTTTGTGAGCAATGAAAACAATTTCTTCTCTTCCGTGTCAGTCAACGCGCGTTCACAAGAGTACCACAATGCATGCAGCTGTGCCTTGTTTACATGCAGAGGAATGCACATGCATACGTAGTGGTACTGTTGTAAACATGCCTCGGAGACTGCCACGGAAAGGAAGAAATCTTTAAATAAAGTCGTAATTTTTGTTTTCTTTGCGTACAAAAAGTAATGTCATAGCTTCATAACATTACAGTTGAACCACTGATGTTACATGGACTATTTTAACAATGTCTTTACTATCTTTCTGGTCCTTGAACATAGTAGTTGTGTTGCTGTCTATGCAGGGTCAGAAAGCTCTTGGATTTCATCAAAAATGACCTGCATGAAATGTATTAGGCTGAAAGGAAAACAGCTTGAAGGGTGTCATTGTAGTGGAATATATTCGGGCCATGTTTTGAAGTCCTGTATAATGAACAGGCCGCATCTTTAAAAGCCTCATACTGAAAACACTTTAATGAGCAAACATTTGTTTCGCTGTAAGAGAGAAATGCAGTTGATGAGGTCAGGCTTTAGAAACTGACTTTGTCCAAAGAAAATCGGCTACTGTGAAAATAGCCTTGTGTCAATGACCAGATAGGAAGTAAGCCACAAACTGGGAATTTAAGTCCTCTGGATAGTTTTATACATAACAGCAGGAGTTAATATGAGTAAGCAATTATAAATGTTGTCTATATACTTGCTTAAGCACTCAGACGACCCAGAGGGGGGTTGACAGGTACCTTTAGTATACCAGGTATTTACCTATCTAAAAATACCTGGAACAATAACACCGTGCAAAATCTGTTCCCCGTGTAAGCCATTTTAGTGAGACAACAGCATGCTTTCTGGGACGGAAGGAATGAGACAGCCAAGATTTTTTTCTGCTGTCATATGCAAAACAGTTCTATCTCTGTCTCTCCCTCCCTCTTTTTTCTGTCACTCCTCTCCTGTCTCGCTCCCACTCGCTCCTTCTCTTTCCTGTCCCGTTTCCCAGCCTGTCTCTATGGTAACAGAGCTCTCTCCGGCAGAGGAATATTCTTATGCAGGCTGGAAGGCTGGAAATAGGTCAGTGCTGAGACCCTGTTGGAGATTTTAAGGCGAGGTGGAGTCTTCCACACTACAAAGCCATCCTGTAGAGCAAATGAGGACTAACTGGGCCAGGATAGCCTATAGTGTGTGAGAGTTGATGGCTGGCCCATTCTAGCAAACTCATCCAGGACTGCCCATTCCATTGATATATCACTGGCTGTTTAATTGGCTATGACAGTGTGGTTTTTATTAGCTGTGCTGCTCCTGGAAAAGGCAGCACTCCCCAGTGCCCTCCTGTCTTAGTGAGTCATGCCTGCATACAGAACTTCAATAATACAGCTCAGACAAGCTCGCTTGTTGCTCTTGCAGACAGCATAGAAACAAAGGCATATGCTCGCCACTAAAAACTTGGGAGCAATTATAAAACAAGCTTTATGGCAAAACTTGGGAGCAATTATAAAACTGGCTTTATGGCACATACACAAAACTATTAAAGATATACTCTGGGTAAATGTATTTTATCACACATTAAAAAGCCAACCTTGCCAGTGACATACCACCAATCTTGGAACCTCTCTTGAAACCATGAGACGGGACCCTGTCCACAAGTAGTGACATCATGCAGTAAAGTTTACACTGGATGTTGAATTAGGTTTGCAAATGGAGATAGATAGTTATGTTATTTTGGGCAAACTAGCCCTTTCCTAAATAGTTTTCTCTTTCTTTATCATTTTATGCAAGCGCCCCCTTGCATCATTCTTTTTAATTTGCCTTCATAAGAGTCAATTGTTGTATTGCTTTGTTAATGAATCTGACTAAAAACTATTACCTTATGGTTAATAAGAATCCACTGTTTATGTATCAGACAAGAAAAAATAAAATAAAATAAAAAGAACCAGTCTATTAAAATATAATAGACTGATTATAAATGAGACCTTTCCCCAAAAATAAATAAATGAATGAATAAATAAATAAATAAATATATTTTTAAGAATTAGTTGTTTATGAATCAGTCTATTCACTACAAAGAACCAGCTCATGTAAGTCATTTGTTTATAATTTAGACTAAAATCTATTGACTTAAAAAACAAACAGTTCATAAGAATCAATAGTTTATGTATCAGACTAAAAAAAAAGTCATTAAAAAGAACCAGGCCATTAGAATCAACAGTTTCTAAAAAAAAAAAAAAAAAACTAGAAAATACTAAATAAATAAATAAATACATATATCCATATGAACCAACTCAAACCAGCTCATATGAATCAGTTGTTTAAGAATCAGTCTAAAAACTATTCACTACAAAGAACCAGCTCAACAGTTAATTGTTTATCAATCAGTCTAACAAACTATTCACTAAAAAGAAGCAACTTAAGTCGTTTGTTTGTAAATCTGTATTCACTGGTCGAACTGCATGATTATTTTTGCAGCTCAATAGAAAGACATTTCATGCCATTATTTTTTAATACATAACATTTGAATTGCATCACACTGAACACAGACTGCACACTCACATTCACATTTCAGATATGAAATATCATTTTTTTTTTACTGTGACACTGTAGATTTGGAGGTGGTGGTATAGATTCAGCAGCGGGGGAGCACTGCTGCTGAAAAGCGGTGCAGGAAACACTGATACACAGAAAACAAGCAAACAATTAAATAAATCTTTATATGTTGAACCTGGAGAAAACTTCTTGTCTTGAATTCAGATCTAAGATGCAGTAGCAGAAACAGAAAAAATGACAAAGAGTAAGTGTAAGAACAGCCTCTGCCTTGGGGGTTGTGTGACAGAAGTGGTTGTTTAAAACTACAGATTGGCTCATAAATCAGAGGATAGAGAGAGCAGACAGAGGGGTCCTGATAGAGGCAGACAGTGTCACCGACCAGAACTGACTCATATGGACACCACCCTTCAAAAAAAAATTAATAAATAAAAAAAAAACTCTTTGCATGCAATTTTCATTGCATTAATGCATCCCATCCCTCAGAGAATCACAGACTTGAGTTTAATCCATCGGGTTAATCCATTGGGTAGGACTATGCGTAAGCATTAAATAATTAGCATTAAGCTCATTGACCTGTAGCAAATGAATGTTGCTAACTAACCTTCTCACTGACTCCCTCTCTGAGCTGTCTACTTCCTGGAGATGTTGGTAGACAGGACCAGAATCTCTCGTTCCACCAATGGCATTGAGACATCCTCTGGTTATGGGTGGTGTTCTGCGAGATGCAGGCCGAAAAGCAGAACGAATCCTTTGATCTGGACTATGAGAGAGGGAACCACTCCTGTAAAATAAAATACACAACATATCATTGATTTGTGTTTTTGTGTTATTGCTAGGGTCATTTTGATCCCCAAGGAGAAATGATAAAACATTTGACAAGTGCATGCTTACTGAGGGATAAATAATAATAAGCTGTGGGGATTTCATTCTGCCAGAATTAAAAGCATCAGAAAACAAATGAATAATAACAACAACAACAACAATAATAATAATTATTATTATTCTAACTATTACTATTATTGTTTTTGTGCATTACTGGGGACTTTAAAAACCCCTACAAACAAACAAAACAACCAAATCAAAAAGAAGGTTTTATGTAAGAAAGAAAATAATATATTTACTTGAATACAGATATGGATAAGCAAATAAAAAAATAAACAGTACTGACTTTTTATATACTTTTACAGCTCTGTTCTGTTGGTGTGTTTTTTTTTAAAGGAAATCCTAAAATAGCACACATGACTCTGAACAAAGCAAAGCTGCTATACTCAATCTGATTTTCTGTCGCAGTCCATAGTATTCTTATGTTAAAAATGCTTTACACTCTCACTTTCTCTCTGTCTCCATCTGGTGTGCTGAATGTTTTACAAAGCAGGACATGCTTTCATAAAGCTCGCTGAGAAAGACACTGGGAATAAACGACACTAAGAAATGTAGGCTTTAGTCTACACACCTGTAGACTTCATTAAAACAACAACAACAAAAAAAATGATTTACTAGATACATTTCTTTTGTCATTGAAAAAGGGAGCACATTACCAATCAGTCACCTTGTTCCCAAATAGATATTTATGTGATAGTGCTAGGCAAACTACGGGGAGATGTTGTACATACGTTTCCACTGAATGGGGCCACATTAACATAGAGATTAATTGACCTATCAGACCGATGGCAGAAAGGAGCACACATTTGACTACTTGGTAAAAATAGCCCAAAGAGGAATTCATGCTCGATTTTAGATGAGTCTCCAACAGAGCGATAATTCACTGCATATTTAAATCCTTTCTTACCCTGAGTCAAGAGCAATCAGTTAGATTGTGATGATCATTTGAAGACATGAGCATTTGGGGAGGGATGGGATAGGGGGCAAAAGGCTGTTTGCCAACAAATTAAATGTCATCACTGAAAAAAAATACATATATATGATTGCAAGAGTGCACTGAGCCACAAACAGAGAGAGAGAGAGAGAGGAATCAGGGCTTAACGTTTATGAGGATTAAACAAGGCTGAAAGGATTTGTGTCTCTGCTATCACAGACCATCCCCAGCCCTCCATAAAACCCCTCCACAAACCACAACTCTTATCCACACACTGATGAGCCATCATTTAATACAACAGATCATTCATATCAGAAACCATTTTACTCAATGAATCATGACGTGTCATGTCATGATTATGAAGGTGTCATGTCAGTCTTATGCACACCCCTTCAAGTAAAGTGTTACCAATGAATTCAATAAAACATTCTATTAGACTCTAAAATGACCAAATAGCTCAATTTCAATGGACCCTTCTCTACCTAAAATACATTTTTGACCAATCCTACTTTAGGTTGCCGTTTAATATTTCAGACATGCCTTTTTGGTTTTAGATGACAAAATACTTCAAAATGATGTGGATTACAATATGTTTTGTCCCCCATTCCCATCAGAACACTTACTTATGCTTCAAGGTAAAATAACATCTATTCTTTCATGTACTGATTCAGGTTATTGTAGTGTTGATAGTAACTGAAGAGTTTGTGAATGTGTTTTGTTAATGTTATCAGAATTTGACAGTAAATGCACTTTTAATATTACAACCGTTTTCTATTTCAAATAAGTGCTGTTTTTATACTTTCCATTCATCAAAGAATCTTGAAAAAAAAACATTCAACATTGATAATAATAAAAAATGTTCCTTGAGCAGCAAATCAGCATATTAGAATGATTTCTGAAGGATCATTTGACTCTGAAGACCAGAGTAATGATGCTGAAAATTCAGCTTTGCATCATAGTAATTACATTTTAAAATGTAGTCAAATAAAAAACTGTTATTTTAAACTTTTCACAATATTACTGTTTTTACTGTATCTTTGGTCAAATATATGCAGTCTTAGTGAGCAAAAACAAAACATGAAGCTGCCATATTTTATTGCACCAGAGAACTGATTATATATGCTCTGCCATTGATGTTGTTGCTATTACAGAAGTGCATATTAATATATTGCCAGTTAGAATTATTATAATTTTCTTACTATTCAGTAATTGTATCATAGTCACTGGGTGCGCTGTAATGGATGGAAATGTAATTTCTCTCCTCAGTGCTTTTTAACAGAGACATGTGGATTTCATCCTGTATAATTACGTAACAATAATCATTGTCAAAATTTCTTGCCATTTTGGATGCCATTAAATTAGCATGAAAAAAGCTGATTTAGAAGGATAAAAAGATTTTGTGATGATTCATACCTGGGGTGTTTCCTTGTCAGTGTGCCTTGTGGACTGGTAGAGGCAGCAGTGCTTTGAACGAAACCAGACTCTCGAACATGCGGTGGCGAGGAACTTGTGGGTTTATAATACTGCAAAAGACACAACAAAGACAAATGTTAAACATTCTACATTGTCATCTAAACTCTTAATTAATACATTTTCAGTCCCAGTTGGATAATGTATCAAGCGTGCAAGAAGAGCTCAGGCTTCTGCTTGACTCTTCGCCTCGATTCTTGTCTTTGACAAAGAGTCGGTGGTCGGGGTTCCACTGATGTTCAGATAATCCAACAGACCTCTATGAAACCTGCAGACAAATCCAATTTAAATTTCACACCTTGAAAGACTTCCTCATAAAAAGCCATTTCTGCTTCAGGCAGAATGCACACAATGATCTAAATGTCAGAGAGATACTTAATCTCCTCCGCTATCCCACCTTCACTCCACAGTGTCGAGTGGAAGAGAAGAGAGAGAGGAAATATACAGGAGGAGGAGAACTGATGGCTGATGGGGGATCAGAGAAGGGCACTAGAGTCACTCTAATTGGATAATATAGCGCTTTCAGGACTATGTAAATCTAAGCAATGTCCCAATAGCTTCCTCTAATGGAACTCGTGTGGGAACAATATGTGCAGTGCAGAAGAGAACATATTGTTTTTTTTTTCTTTTACTTTCCTAATTTACATTTTGCAGATTGTTTTTTTCCCCCCAAAGCAACTTACATTGCATTCAAAGTATACATTTCAACAGTTGTATGCATTCTTTGGGAATGCCATGACTTTTCCACTGCTAGCACCAGACTCTACTGTTTGTGCTATAGGGAACACAGAAACTTTATTGTGACTACTTACAAACATGTTGATGTTTTATCAAGGGTAATTCACAAAAAGTGCTCACAATCTTGGACCGTATACAAGCAACAAACTGCTTGGAATTTTTGGAATAGAAGCTCATCAAACTGATATAGAAATATTGTCAATGCATCTGAGGAGGAATAAGCAGTGGGCAGAACACTTGATGTTTACACATCCCAAAAGGTAATGAGCATATTAGAGAAAAAAGTACTATACAAAAGAGCTGAAAATTGAGACTAAAATCTACAAAAGATTATTTCAAAATAGCACCTCAGACATCATAATGGCACATATGAAAGCCATATGAGTGAGTTCCTCACAGCGTGACTGTTATACAGTTAACAGGGGCGAATATATGGGATGTATGGGCAATAATGAGCTGTTACCACATGTCTGTGTTCAAAAGGTTTTTGATGGACCTGCTTTGAACAGAGTTGCATAAGGCTGAAAACATGCTGCTTAGGAGGGGATTTTAGTGTAATGGATGTTTTAATTTAACCATAATGACATGCAAGGCCATCACCTACTGTAGCTCGTGTGTGTGTGATCTGCATGATCTGTCCAAAGCTACTGTAGATGGTAATTGTTTTAAATGTCATTCAAGTGAAGAGTTTCTGTGGTAAATGTGTGGTAAGATGTGAATTGTTCTTCTTGCTCAGCCTCATTTTAGCCGCAAGTCAACAAATATTTCACACCTATAATAATCAAAATCTTTGTGGTATGCAGGGGCAAAGCAAACAACAAAAATTCACATTTACCTGGCACACACTAGCCTAAAATATCATTCTAGACAAGACAAGATGTGTGTTACCTGTGTGTTAATAAATGTTTGTTTATATGCCCATGGGCTGAACTTTCAGCGAACGGTGCACCAGAAAGAGTGAGAAGCTTATGAAATATATATAGAGGGAAAGGTTAGGACTGAATTTGAGATGGGATGGCAAAATATCTTACATCAGTAATCCACTGAGTTTCACAGATATTGCTAATAGAGGTATCTCTAATGCAGATATGTAAAACTCACTCCATCCTTAATTCAATGCAGTTCTTATGATTACTGAAAGAAAAAGCTGTTGTCATGGAAAAAAAGAACTAACATCATGTGTCAAAAGCTGGTCTTTCCTTGTCACTGGACTAGTTTTGATTGCTTTGGCTGGCATTTGCATGTCTGCATGACAGTGGGCAATTGCTGTAGAGATTAAACATCTCACTGGGTTTGAGTGACATTTAAATTACCACTGTGTTTACCATGCAAATAGCCTGTATCGGCTTATCTGTGATGGATCTGCTAGTTGGAGTGATTGAGAAAGTGATGAATATTAACCAAATCTCCCAACAGGACGCAGGGAAGGAAACACACTGTCTACAATCTCTAGGACACTGGACTGGCACACAGTTTCTGAGCTGGAAAGACAGAGAATGATGCAGTAATCACAAACCCTCAATGATGGACTAGCGTGACTACCATTATTAGTGTGTCTGTCCTCAGAGACTTGCACACCCTGAATGGCTGTGACAGAGCCTCGTTACAATGAGCTGAGCGATGTAAAGCTGTTCTTGCTTCTAATTGCTGATGAGGAGAAAAGCAGGAAATGTGATGGGATTTGTCTCAGAATCCCTTTTAACATGAATTTTCAGCGATCACATCATAATCAGATTTGACTATTTGACTACATTAATGACTCCATGAGTTTTGTGGCTTGTAGTCCAGTGGCTCTCAACGTTTTGACAATATTCAAATTCTAATATTCGAAGGCCCTCACATCTAAGCTGATATGTATCTAAACATAAACAACCTGAAAAACATGTCAGTTTAATGTTGTACATCACATTTTTATTATTTTTCTTTCAGCAATAAGATTAATTAAGATCATATTAATATGACTAAACTAAAAAAAAAAAATCTATTTTTTTGAGCAATCTGTATGCTAGCTAAACAAAATAAATAGATAAATCCATTAAAAATACAGTATAGTCTCTCTTTTTGCGAAAGTGGAACATAAATACTCATGACGCATCATACACTACAAATTTATGGTTTATCGAATCCTGTTCTGAATGTGAATGCTCTTCACACTTATACTGCCTGCCAAGAGAACGTAGCAAATCATGGCTTAGAGTTTCATGAACTATTTGGTCTGCCCACTGAATCTACCTAATATAATATAACCGAATATAACCAAATATAACCTAATATAACCTAATATAATATAATATAACCTAATATGTAGAATGTGTTTAAAAACGTATAATTAAATATTCGTACAGGTTATAGGCTAAGCTAGCCAACAGATTGGCTAACAATAAGCTAAACTAGCATGCTGAACTGTTAGCTTGCAAAACATAAGCTAACTAAAAATAATAATAATAATGATAATATTGAACAAGTGTATAATTACACAATCTATAGCTTAGGTTACATGTAACCATTGAAAAAAACAAAAAACATAAATAGCCATAATAACAGTTAAGACGGTGCACATCATAAAGTGATTTTAAATTATTTGTAATCAGGCACTGAATAAATTATGCATTAAAGTTTCTCTCAGGCAATGGAATCTCTTTGGGGTCTTATTTGTTTGCCAACTGTTCATGACAACAGCTATTACATAAAGTAATGTCTTTTGGGAATTTTCTTTAAAGGGTTAGTTCACCCCAAAATGAAAAGTCTGTCATTAATTACTTACCCTCATGTCGTTCCAAACCCGTAAGACCTTCGTTCATCTTCGGAACACAAATTAAGATATTTTTGATCAAATCTGAGAGCTTTCTGAACCTCCGTAGACATCAATGCATCTGTAATGTTCCCAGGTCCAGAAACGTAGCATGGACATCCGTAATTTTACGAAGCTACGACTTTTTGTGCGCAAAGAAAACAATAATACCAACATAATTTATTCAACAATTCTTCCCCCCGAGTATTCTCGTAACTTCATAAAATTACGGTTGAACCACTGATGTCACATGGACTATTTTACAGATGTCCTTGCTACGTTTCTGGACCTGGGAACATTACAGTTGCATTGCTGTCTACGGAGGGTCAGAGAGCTCTCACATTTGATCAAAAATATCTTAATTTGTGTTGCGAAGATGAACGAAGGTCTTACGGGTTTGGAACGACATGAGGGTGAGTAATTACTGATAGAATTTTCATTTTTGGGTGAACTAAACATTTAAAAAGAAAATCCTTTTGACATGTCCTCCCCAGGCTTCCTGTTTCAATAGGCATTGAGTCATAACAGAAAACTTAATTTTCCAAAAAAAAAATTCATAGGGTATTTTAAAAGTCTGATCACACTAGTAGAGTAGTGAGGCAAGATATAAATGCAATCCACTTCAAGAATATACTATCTGGATACAAAACATACATTGATGCGAGGCATAAAAGGGGCCAGAGGTGCTTACTTTTTGGAGCTGCAGGCCTTGCTGAGGCCTAAGGCTGGGTTTAGGGGCCAGGCTGGAAGAGTTGAGGTTGTAGTTTTTCTGGCTACGGCTCTCTTTCAAGTGTGCCTGGAGCTTTTCCCTCCTTCTCCTGTAGGGGGCAGCATCATTAGTTAAGAATCCAAAATACCATGGGCTAGCAGACTCATTCACATGCGAACACATCACCCATCATCTGTAAGAATATGTTCTGACAGTTAAGACAGCCCATAGTTATTTTCCTGGGAGATAAAATAATTACTGGTGCACTTAAATGTCACTACATCATTGTTTGATTTTTCTTCTGTCAGTTTGCTCACTCATTGTATCATGTGTTATATTTAAATTGCTGGGCTGTTCCGCACACCCCTTCTTGCTTCTAGGAGCTCTGACTTGCAGTCAGTTGCTCTTACTGATGCTTATCTCAACTCATGGGTGAAATATGGATATACTGTATACTCAATCGCCTGGATCAGATCCATCACAATTTCAGTGTAATGTGACTATTATTACCCCTTTCCTACTCATGCCAACAAAATACAGCATTTTAAAGCATCATAGACACTCTCCCGGGGCTATTACAAAGGCAGGCATTTTAATTATTCTGCTTCCTAAGATATTTAAATTTGGCCAAATTATAAGGCAGCAACACATGCATCCAGAGTTTTCACCGGATATTGTCATCTGAACAAGTAACAAGTCTGCCACTTTTGTTCTGACCAACTGAGAAAAAAAAGCATTACAGTAAATCGCTCTACCAATGCTGATTAAATCTAACGATCAGTTAGCTCATATCACATCAAACCGTGCAAATTATTATTGTTATACTTTGTTCTCAAATTGTTAATGTTAACAACATCAGCATTGCGTGACTATGTGTATATAGTGTGTATTATAGGGATGTAACGATATCAAAATCTCATGATATGATAATATTGTGATATAAAGTCCACGATACGATATTTATTGCGCTATTTAAAAAAAAAATAAAAATGAAGAATTGAAAAAAATGATATTTTCTACATTTTAAAGTTAAATTGTTCTATCTAATGCACTTTGAGAGTTCAAAATTAAGAGCTCCAACCCATGTTCTTAACTAAGAAAACTTAAGTCAGAAAAAAGTCAGTGAATTACCTTGTACCTGAACTTTAAAGGGTACTCAACCCTCTTTTTATTTGTGAAATACGGTCTCAGTCTAAATTTAATTGACACTGGTGTTTTAGGAAGCCAAACAAATTTGAATATAATAATAATAACAACAACAATGACAGTAGTAGCATATTGTAAAACAATTGCACTGTAAAATAAATGAAAATGAATATTTCATAGGTATTTAATTTCTGCTTTACACTACAGTAGGGAAATTACAATACTTCTTTCCTAATTTCTAGACTTGAAAGAGATATTTTGAATTTGGACTATAGTAACGTTACCCATTTAAACCTCTAGCTGTCAGCAATTCATGCTGCACTTTTAAGCTGGATGGAATTTTGATGGAAATGGCAGTGACGTTAGAGCTTTTATTTTGAAGGGAACGTAGCTTCAGTGAAAATACAAAAATGCGTCTCACTACAAATCTAGTGAAATGCTGTAATCATCTGCCGCGAAAATAAAGCATAAAGTATTCCTAAACGTGCGCTAAACTCACAGCATATGCAATAAACGAGTTCACTGCATTAATTCACTGTGAACAGCGGATCACGAGCTGATCGCCTCAACAATGTGTGTGCTTCGCTTTGGAACACGCTGCAAAAAAGACTTGATGAAAGGATTAAGCCATATTGTGCTTTCAGTTTTAGTTCGTTTGACAGATACTGTGCCAAGGCATAATGGCTTAAAACAAATATATTTTTGCCCAGAAGGCCTATTGTTTCATATCGTCATGTGACCACGATAATATCGAGTTTTGCTATCGTGATATTGCGATATTGATAATGTAGATTTCAATTTCTGTACAGTCTAATCTCTAATTGTCATACCATTCAAATTTCATATTAAGAAATTCTTTTAACCCAAAAAGCAAATTATTCTTCCTTCGAACTGGTTCTCTTTAAAACACAAATCATGTGTAATCCCAGGCTATCTGTAATCAGATGCACATTTAAAACTGGAATAATTTAATTTCAGTCACGTGTTTCATAAACACATAATCCTTTCTGGATTACAATCCGCCATCAAAATGATAAATTTAATTATTCCAGCTGCTGCAGAAAAGGTTAGTAATAATCCGCCACCTGCAGGATCCTCACATGCGATATATAGCCTACTAGCCGGGACTCCTTCTTTATGTTTACAGACGTGATGAAACTAATGTAAGTTCAACTTTTAAAAAAACATGTCTCAAGATTTTATGGCGGTTTTCCCCCATCCCACTGTATCTCATGTTTTTAAATGAAGAAAGTAGCCTACTCTTTGTGATTGCTTTTCGGTCCTTTGTATTTAACTATACATACACGCATGGTGCTGTTTTTTTCTAATTGTTTAAGCAACTTCATTAATTATATATGGTTTATAAACATTATTTTAAACATTATGCATTTTTTTTCAAAGATTATTAAAGTGTTATTTTATTACACTTTGAAGAAACGTGCATTATGTTTTGCTCGATGTGCCCTCTTGTGGCCTCAGGAGAGAAGCCAAAAGCTTTTTTCCCCATAACTGAAATTATGCCTTTTAAATTCTAATATAATTTGAATTTTGATAATATTTAAGTGGAAAATTCGAATGTAGTTTTTCAGTCATTTTGACAGCCCTATTGATTACTACCGAAGCTTAGAAGCTCAAAAAATGGTATTCGGACCAGCCCTACTTTTAACAAATGCATTTTTAAATACAATTAGCATCTCTGAGGAGCTAAAAGGGGGAAAACAGTCATCTTGAGCCTATAATGACTGTGAATATACACTGAACAAAATTGTAAACGCAACGCTTTTGTTTTTGCCCCCATTTTTCATGAGCTGAACTCAAAGATTTAAGACTTTTTCTATGTACACAAAAGGCCTATTTCTCTCAAATATTGTTCACAAATCTGTCTAAATCTGTGTTAGTGAGCTCTTCTCCTTTGCCGAGATAATCCATCCACCTCACAGGTGTGGAATATCAAGATGCTGATTAGACAGCATGATTATTGCACAGGTGTGTGTGCTTTAGGCTGGCCACAATAAAAGGCCACTCTAAAATGTGAAGTTTTACTTTATTGGGGGGGGGGGGGGGGTCCGAAAACCAGTCAGTATCTGGTGTGACCACCATTTGCCTCACGCAGTGCAACACATCTCCTTCGCATAGAGTTGATCAGGTTGTTGATTGTGGCCTGTGGAATGTTGGTCCACTCCTCTTCAATGGCTGTGCGAAGTTGCTGGATATTAGCAGGAAGTGGAACACGCTGACGTATACGCCGATCCAGAGCATCCCAAATATGCTCAATGGGTGAGTTGATCAGGTTGTTGATTGTGGCCTGTGGAATGTTGGTCCACTCCTCTTCAATGGCTGTGCGAAGTTGCTGGATATTGGCAGGAACTGGAACACGCTGTCGTATATGCCAATCCAGAGATGGGCCACTCGATCCACAACGTTGACATCAGCAAACCGCTCACTTACACGACGCCATACACGTTGTCTGCCATCTGCACTGTACAGTGAAAACCGTGATTCATCCGTGAAGAGAACACCTCTCCAAAGTGCCAGACGCCATCGAATGTGAGCATTTTCCCACTCAAGTCGGTTATGACGACGAACTGCAGTCAGGTCGAGACCCCGCTGAGGATGACGAGCATGCAGATGAGCTTCCCTGAGACGGTTTCTTACAGTTTGTGCAGAAATTCTTTGGTTATGCAAACTGATTGTTGCAGCAGCTGTCCGGGTGGCTGGTCTCAGATGATCTTGGAGGTGAAGATGCTGGATGTTGAGGTCCTGGGCTGGTGTGGTTACATGTGGTCTGCGGTTGTGAGGCCGGTTGGATGTACTGCCAAATTCTCTGAAACGCCTTTGGAGATGGCTTATGGTAGAGAAATGAACATTCAATTCACGGGCAACAGCTCTGGTGGACATTCCTGCAGTCAGCATGCCAATTGCACGCTCCCTCAAAACTTGCGACATCTGTGGCATTGTGCTGTGTGATAAAACTGCACATTTTAGAGTGGCCTTTTATTGTGGCCAGCCTAAGGCACACCTGTGCAATAATCATGCTGTCTAATCAGCATCTTGATATGCCACACCTGTGAGGTGGATGGATTATCTCAGCAAAGGAGAAGTGCTCACTAACACAGATTTAGACAGATTTGTGAACAATATTTGAGAGAAATAGGCCTTTTGTGTACATAGAAAAAGTCTTAGATCTTTGAGTTCAGCTCATGAAAAATGGGGGCATAAACAAAAGTGTTGCGTTTATAATTTTGTTCAGTGTATTTGTCTCAATTAAATAGTTGAAACTAGCCTGTAAAAGCTGAATAGTAAAAGCACCAGCAGCAGTGCATTCGATGCATGCCATGGGCCAAAAATATTTTAATTCATTCCTGTTGGAAAGGTGGCCAGTAGAATTGTGGGTGCTTTTATGGGAAAGTAATTACGTCCCCACCTCCAGTCATTATGTTTCTGGGTTTCCATAGCAGTCACTCTTTCCTCTAGTTTGTTATATTGTGCCTTTCTTTCAAATGATATGCTCTGGGGTACAGCTCAAGCTTTGATAAATTCTGAGGTCCACTTACTTGTTCCGACAGTAGAGAGCTATGCAGAGTGTGCCTAGAAAGCTGATCCCCATGGCAATACATGTGATAGACATCACTTGTCTTTTGTACACCTCCTTGCTCTCTGTTGGGACGAAACAAACAAGGAGGAAAAACATGAGCAAAACATTAATTGCTATACAAAAACAAGTATGTAGCAGTGGTGTTCCGTCCATATAAGCTGCGAATGCTCCGCATACCCAGGCCATTTGAGAGAAAAAGTTAACGGGATAATTCATATAAACATGATTATAAGTTGATCCCTTGTCATTTGAAATGTAACTTAAAGCTTAAAGAGTTAGGAAGTACGTAAAATGATTTTTTTGCCAAACGGCAGTAATTTTCTTTAAATCTATGTCAGTTATGGTTGCTACCTGGCGAGCGGATTCTCTGCAGCTTTCTCGCCTCCGCTCTGTTGCTATGACTCGTCAGGATTACAACATGTTCTCAGTGATTTGCTGGTCTGCGGCAGATTTAATGCGCGAGGTAAGCTGTTCGCGAAGCGCTCGCCCAAGATCTCGATTGCAGAAAATTACATTGTGTTTGATGCAAAACCAACTCGACTGAATCAAAAGAAAAAAAAACACTAACTGTATATTTTTATTTTCTCAAGCACAGCAAATTTTAAAAGTCCACTGAACAACTTACATTTTTGGTCATAGACAACATATGTTGAAGATATACATTATTGTCAACGTTATTGAACGTTATAAAAACGTGGGCTATATAAAATTTGAATAATAACAAACATTATATTGTTTTGCGTATGCTCGTGTCGCTTACAGTTGAAGTCCTTCTCTGATTTTATTATTGTTTGCAAGGTTGCAACGTTACTTTGCAATATTTTAAATACAGGTGCATCTCAATAAATTAGAATGTCATGGAAAAGTTCATTTATTTCAGTAATTCAACTCAAATTGTGAAACTCGTGTATTAAATAAATTCAATGAGTAGTTTAAGTCTTTGGTACTTTTAATTGTGATGATTTTGGCTCACATTTAACAAAAACCCACCAATTCACTATCTCAACAAATTAGAATACTTCATAAGACCAATAAAAAACATTTTTAGTGAATTGTTGGCCTTCTGGAAAGTATTTTCATTTACTGTACATGTACTCAATACTTGGTAGGGGCTCCTTTTGCTTTAATTACTGCCTCAGTTCGGCGTGGCATGGAGGTGATCAGTTTGTGGCACTGCTGAGGTGGTATGGAAGCCCAGGTTTCTTTGACAGTGGCCTTCAGCTCATCTGCATTTTTTGGTCTCTTGTTTCTCATTTTCCTCTTGACAATACCCCATAGATTCTCTATGGGGTTCAGGTCTGGTGAGTTTGCTGGCCAGTCAAGCACACCAACACCATGGTCATTTAACCAACTTGTGGTGCTTTTGGCACTGTGGGCAGGTGGAAAATGAAATCACGTATCATAACATAACTACGTGTAAACCATATTTGGCGGTTTTTACTTGGAAAACCAGCTATATTTTTCTTGCATTCGAGTAACAATGGATAAACCTGAAATGATAGAAGAAGGATTGGAGATTAATTTCATTTACAAATAAGGTAGGAAATGTGCATACTTTCAAATCGACACCTGCCACGGTGTTTCTTATTTGCCATCTGTGATCCTTTTTGCGTGTCCTAAAAAAAGGGGGGGGGGGTCTTATCACTCAGCATACCCAGTTAAAAAAAGTCACCTCTTGCCACTGGTATGCAGCACATATGAAGATGCATCTACAGAGAAACAATGACAATGAATGCAGCACATCACTGAATATTTGCTGCTGTAATAGAGGTGGCCTGGGATAAGAGAATAAAACATGGCTGGCTGCACTAGTGGGAGCTTGATTTTCCAGAATGCTAGTTTGCAATGCGGCGAAACCCCCTATGTAACTGTCAGGGAGTCGTGAAACTGAATTGCTGAAAAGAAGCGAGTAATAGATGTTGTTATATATTTATTTATTTATTTATTTTGTGGGGATGGATGGCACAGGACAAGTGTTCAAACCTAAATGGACACTATTAAGTGTGAAAAATAGCAGCTGTCATTTCTCATATGAAAGAGTAAATCACGCTTGTCTTCACAACTGTTAATAGGCAATCAATCAGATTATACTCAGACACAACACACTCTACAAGAGCTGCCACTAACTTTACACTGAATACACTGGAGTATAATGAATGTGTCAGCTACATGACTAGTAATAAAGCAATTGTGAGTTTTACAAGGTCAGACTCAAAGCAGTGTTAACCTTGCAGGTGAAATTAACATGGTAAAGTCATCATGGCTACCCAAAGTAATATAATACTCCCTTGAGTGCATTTTAGTAACCTGCCCAGGCAGTTATTTCATATGGAAGTTAGGGCTGTGCAAAAAATCAAATGTGATTTTCATGTGCATCTCGTCAGTAAAGCCGCTCCTGTGATTAGTAGTAAATCTCCAGCACGTGCTTTCAGATGGAGCGGCATTTACTACACAGAGCCGTAGTTCACTGACAAGCAGAGGCGGACAGTAACTAAGTACATTTACTTGAGTATTGTACTTAAGTACACTTTTTGAGTATCTGTACTTTACTTGAGTATTATTTTTTCTGGGAACTTATGACTTTAACTTCACTACATTTGAAAGACAAATATTGTACTTTTCACTCCACTACATTTCTATCAAGGTCCTCGAAGTAGAAAGTCGTTGTGCACACACTGTCAGAGCTGTGTGAGATCACTACCATCCTGCTTTTGTGGGGGAGGGTAGGGGTGTTAAATACATTTTGTTGTTTTCCCCATAGGTTTTTAAAATTCTAAAAGCTCTTTATTCCAAATATACTACAAGCTAGTCAGTGTATTCAGCAGGTGTAATATATTCTAAGTTGCTTCAGAAGTATTGTAAGTACTACTACGTACAACAATAAAACAGTGCATTGACATAAAAAAGGAAATGTACTTTTGGTACTTAAGTACTTTTAAAAGCAAGTACTTCTGTACTTTTACTTAAGTAAAAATCTGTCTTTACAACTTTTACTTGTAATGGAGTAATTTTTGACCAGCAGTATCTGTACTTTCACTCAAGTAATGGAGTTGAGTACTTTGTCCGCCTCTGCTGACAAGCTACACAAAATCGCGTTCAAAATCGCAGGCCATTCATTGCCGATTTTGAATGCGATTTTGTGTAGCATGTCAGTGAACTACGGCTCTGTGTAGTAAATGCCGTATCTGTCTGAGTATAATCTGATTGATTGCCTATTAACAGTTGTGAAGACAAGCGTGATTTACTCTTTCATATGAGAAATGACAGCTGCTATTTTTCACACTTTATAGTGTCCATTTAGGTTTGAACACTTGTCCTGTGCCATCCATTTACTACTAATCACAGGAGCGGCTTTACTGATGAGATGCGCATGAAAATCGCATTCGATTTTTTGCACAGCCCTAAAGTAATAGGCATACAGCTTTGAAAGGGTAAGGACCAAAATCTCCAAAAATATAAGTCAAGATTGTGTTTCAATAATGTTGTATTATTTTAAATCAGGAATACAATCTGACAAAAAAAGTGACATAAAAAAATCAAGGCTAGAGTAAACTCGAAAACTAGCATTATTATAACTATTACAGTATAATTGCTATTATATTTATTAATATTTTGAATTGTGTATACTATGATTTTAATTTTAATTGCAGTTTTAGTGATTTTGTCATGTGCTTTTCTCGTTTTTATTATTTTATTTATTATTTCTAGCTTTATCCTATACCCATCATATTGAGTTTACTCATTCATATTTCCATGGGTGGTCCTTCTCCTCCTCCTTATAGTGTCGCTGGTAATATAGATATAATAGATTACCCAACGGAAGTCCACTAACTTGCAGAAAAGATCAATAAATGAAAGTGCAAAACCGTGTGAAAGTAATCAAGCATTGCTCAGTTTTCATTATTTATATATTCCATGTCATGCTTTACAAATTGACTTATTATTCTTATGCCATTATATGTCCATCACATAGTTAAAGTGAATGGAAACCCTGGAATACAAAAAGCATAAAAAGGGAGGAGGAGAGATAAGAGGAGGTGGGATGTATTAGCACATCCTCTCTTTACATTCTGTGCCCTCTCCTAGACATTACCTCATCCTCTTTCACATATCATTGATCCTCTCAAAGACAAGAGAGTGATGAGCAGGAAAAGTGTTAATGTATGTTAATTTATTCATTCTTTTATTCGAGTCTGCTATTAATGCCCATACTTTTACACATATCATCAATGCTCTCGAAATATCCAAGTCTAGCATGTCTCTGTACAACGAAAAAAAGGAACATTTTATTTCTACATCGAATTGAAAACTCAGTTGCACAGAAAACCCCATTAAAAAGCAGTGGCGGCTCGTGGGTTTTAAGAAAGTGAACACTCGATGGTGACTGGCTAATTTTTTTTACCAACGGAGGCACGAGAGCTCACCTCTCCCCCGGCCTCCCCCTTCCTTTCTATATCACCTAGCGGTTGTATTTACATCAGCAGATTCGGCACATTCGCGATAGAAAAGCGGCGCTTTCATGTTATGGTATTACAACTCTGAAATTACAAACAAAAAAATACACATTCTGAGACATGAACTGAAATGAATTGTGAATTTTATTAACATTAAATCGTCCTCCTCCCATTTTCACCTCAAAATTGTGGGGAAGCTGTGCCTGCCCTGCCTCCCCCGACGAGCCGCCACTGTTAAAGAGACTGTTTGCTTTTACATTTATGCAGTATATTTGATTAGTTTTATAAATCCAAATCCAGCTAGAGCCAGCTTTTGTTTGATAAGTATTATTATTATGATGATGATTATTATTAGGATGCCCATATAAAACACTGGAGTGTCGTTGGTCAGCTTCATTACTGATAGATGAAAAAAGTTCTTCCACATTCTAGAAAAATAATTTTTTTTGTAAAAGCAAATCAATGATCTCAAATATCTAATTAGGGCAATTCCACTTATAATTGGGGAGCAACAGGTTATTTATCTCAATTACATGGTAACTGGTGCAGTGCTATGAGAAACTCCAGTGTGAGTAATTGTAAGGTGCCCACAGACAGAAAATGTAGCC